TTTTTTTTTTTTTTTTTTTTTTTTTTAGGAATCATGATCTAATTCATTCCTCTTTTGAAAAGGAAGACAGACTAGTTAGTAGCAGGTAATTAGCACTGTTCATTTCTGATTTCATGTTCCAGAATTTTAAAATATATGCTTAATGGAGCATCTGATGGAATCAAGTTAGAAGATAGAAGGTGGTGGAGAAGACATACTGGAAGAGACAGTGGCATTTGACAAGTACTGCAAGCCAGTTAGAATGAGAGAGAAAAAGAGAAAAAGAGAAAAATAAAGAAAGGAAGGAAGGAAGAAAGAGAGAGAAAGGCAGGAGAGGACTGTTGGCCTAGTTAGACATTTTCAATTTCACTTTACTTGAAGGCATGAACAATCTAAATAAAAGGTAAGAGAGAAGATGTCACTTGGTTAGAAGTTAGACAAATCTTAGTAAGTCCAGACAATTAACCATTTGGGAAAGCTGTTTGCCTTCATGAACATCAGTTTCCTAAGGTCTAAAAACAGTGATCAGTTGTTGTGAGGATTAAGTAAGATCATACGTGCACAACTATGTACTCATAATAGATCCATGACAAACATTTGAATCCTTCCTTGTTCCCCTTAGTGCAGACAGCTTGTTTTATCTAATTCTGAGACAATCACCACAAGGCCCCAAAATATTCCTATTAATTTTGCCCCCAGAAACCAAATCTATAGAATTCTGAACTGAATACACCATGGAAATACTTTCCAAATAATTTTTATCCTTGTACCTAATAGAATAACTTCTGAATGTATTCTCATGAATCTAGATTCTTTTATATTTTTTGTGTTTGTGTTGGCAGATCAGTGGTGTGAGAAAACATATTTGAGCTTTGGGCAAAAGAAAAAAAATCAATAATACTGATCATATCTCCATTGTAATATCTCACTTATTGTTCATTTTTGCAATAATTTTGATTTGAAAAATGTTCTAATAAGTATTATTATCTTGATGACTGAGTCTTTTGGAACCTCCTTAAATTGTATGCCTAACATAAATATCTGACTTGCCTTACCCTAGAACTGGCCCTGTGTGAGATGTTTTTAGATGCAGATTCAGATATTTTGTTTTTGTTACTTTACACTACATTTCAGGATGAACCTCACCAGAGTATATTCTGTGAAATTAGCAACAAGGATTGAGGTGAAAAAAAAAATTACCACCAGAATATAAGTGGGATTAGTTTATCCTAACCAATAAGGTGGGATCCCTGGAATATTCTCCCTTTACTTTTATTATCTTCAGTGTGACTCCTTTGTGGTCTGCAGCCCAGTGTTTGAAGGCCCCTGAAGGTGTGTGCAGTGAAGGTGGTGCCACTGAAAAACCAGGCATCTCCTCTTTTTGTTAAAACACGCCTAATGCTTCATGTTTTTTCTAACAATAAATTATGATTCATTGAACATTTATAACATATTGGGCATTAGAATATATGTTTTTCCCCACCTTGTTTAATTCTTTCAAAGAAGGCAATAGGAAATTATTACTAATAACATTATAAAAATGAGCATTTAACAGTTGAACAGATTTAACATTTACAGTGACAAATCTAAAATTCATAGTGACCAACCTATCAAAAGTTTGTTCTTTGAGTCAAGTCCCAAATATGTTAGCCTTGCTCAAGCAAAAGAAAATTGGAAGAAATGAGACAAATTAGAGTTGGTACTCTAAACTCTGGAAATAAGAATTAGACTACAGACTACTATGTCTATAATTAACAGATCTTATGATCCACACAATACCAGAAACAACATCCTAATTAGAGTATTACAACATTGGGGTGAAAAAAAACCAATGCAACAACAACACACACAACAAAGTAAAAGTGTAAGTGCTGAGAATAGAGAAAAAGACATGAGGCAAGGATATTATTGTAGAAGAGAAAAACTGGCCAGGTTCTAGGGAAATCCCAGGAGCTCATATTGGCAGAGGTTGGAGAATAGAACACTATGATTATTCTAGAAAAGATACAGGCAATTAATCAGATGGAGCTTGGCAAGCTCTCTGCTGATTAAAAGCCAAATAGAAAAGGGGCATAATTATCAGAGGGTAAGTAGATGATAAACCATCCTTGTTTACCTGGGACTGAGAAGATTTTTCCAGACATACGTTACACAGTGCTAAAAGCAGGACAATCCCAGGAAAACTGAGACAGTCTCAGGCAAGCCAGGATGATTGGCCACTCTAGAGTATATTAGAGGTCCTAAGTCTTAGCAATCAATACACAGAACTGGTGGAACTGGATGAGGCAAGCAAAGTCAAGTGTACTAGATTTGGAGATGGGAGGACAGGCAAGTCAACTGTAGGACGGGGCAGATTCAGGGATGGAAGTACAGACAAGAGCGTCAAAGGTCTTAGTCATTCAAAACTCCATTAGGCTAATTACGAGATAATACATGTACACAATGCTGCAAAGTAAATGGTAATGAATTTCATAACAGGAATAGAACAAGGGTTATGGGCATTGAGAGGGTAAAGAATTGCCATTTCAATGAGATGAGAAAGGACACATTAAAACTGTGGTTTTAAGCATGATTGGTTTGTTATTAAGCAGATTTGGAAGAAAGTCAGAAAAAGAAAATATGATATTAGAATGTACAGTAGGGGCGCCTGGGTGGCGCAGTCGGTTAAGCGTCTGACTTCAGCCAGGTCACGATCTCGTGGTCCGTGAGTTCGAGCCCCGCGTCGGGCTCTGGGCTGATGGCTCAGAGCCTGGAGCCTGCTTCCGATTCTGTGTCTCCCTCTCTCTCTGCCCCTCCCCCGTTCATGCTCTGTCTCTGGCTGTCCCAAAAGTAAATAAACGTTGAAAAAAAAATTAAAAAAAAAAAAAAAAAAGAATGTACAGGAGATGTACAGGTTATACACTGGATTTGACTTTTCATTAGTAGAATTTGAAGGTGAAATAGAGTTTGTAGAAGACAGTATTTGGAATTAACTTTGGGATTTGTGTTTGATGTCAAGATACACATTTCAGATTTTATTCATCAAACATCAATGAACCCATCATTTAAAAGATTTTGATCAGGGAAGTGGGCAATGATGCTGACGTGTGCTTCCAAGGATTTTGTATCCACAATAGTGAACAGATATATCTGGGATAGGAAGTCACTGGATACACAGAGTTCTTGCAAAAGACAGTAATAATTACACAGAAAATGAGAAGAGACAAAGGCTTGAAAGAACCAGAGAAGGATGAAAAGAATAGGATAGTGAAAGGATTAGATTTCAAGGCAGTGTGGCAAAATAAGATAAACTCAGGCTTCAGAAATCGACAAGCTTTGGCTGATGTCTCTGATTCTCAGTTTACTGAGGATCTGATGAAATGGCCTGACATACTGACAATATAGCCTCAAGAAGAAATCTCAACTTTGCAAAGCCTCAGATCCTATACATAAAATATATATAATATGACCCATCAGAGGCCTTTTGTTAATTATCAAATATGACAATAAAGTCCATATTATAATACCCAGTACCTAGACCTTTAGTGAATGATGACTATAATACTATAAATAGAAATTGGTTAACTGATTGAAGATGGCAGTAAATTGTATAGAAATGTCAAAGATGTTTTCAAAATTTTAGAGTTATATGAGATTCCGCAAAAGTTCATAATATAGCTATTGAGGGTCTCTCTGTATAGTTGTAAATAACTTTCCTGGTTTCAAGCCCCATCTTCCCCACATTCTAGCTCTATAGACTTGAATATTCACCTAATTTTTCCAGTTATTATATGAGGTATACACACAGAAATTGTAAATATATATACATTTTTCATATATATATATATATTTTTTTTTATTTCATTTACTAGTTGGTATATATCCTGCAAAATGCTCATATTCCTAAACTTTCTTAGGACTAGATTTTAGTATCAGGTATGTCAAAATGAAAAGAATCATTCTCTAAAGAAAATGACTCTCAATTTTGCAACATATAATAGGTTATCAATAAAGTTATGATGCAGTGCCTGAACGGATGGTACTGAATTAAACCGAGGAGATGCTCAGACAAGAAACGCTGTACTGTGGGATGGGTATTCCCTTGGCAGGTTAATGGAGGATTCAGGGTTTAAGCATCAGCACATAGCAGGATTCATTTGATGGGATTCTTAAATAGGAATGTGTTTGCAATACTCCATCCAACCTATTCCTTAGAGCGCAAGCGCCTTGATCTGTGATAAAACCCTGTAGAGTCTTTCTCTTTTCTAGATTCATAAGCTGATTCTACTTATTGCTTGGAGATCCTGATGATGGGGATTTGCATGTTAAGGTGTTAAAGTGGGACCAAAAATTTTCCAGGAGCAGTCATGCGACACCAAAGTTGTAAAAACATCTTGAATGATGGCAACTTAAAAGACCTAATGGTCCAGGCTAAATGGAAAATAAACCTGAATATAGTACAGAACCATTTCCAAGAAATGTTGGCTTTGAAGGAAGTTCATTTTGCATGCCACATTGGTCCTCTCTGAAGGTGATTTTTTTTTTTAAAGAGGCAAACTGAGGACATCCTGTGCTTTCCACACAGACGATAGTAAAAATTGAGAATACCAGTGCTCACATTGGAATTTCCATAATGACTAGAGAATATATATCCATATGGCTTGGGAATGTCCCTCAGCCAATAACTCATAGAAGGAAATTATAAGTGCACTAAGGGGCATCGTTAACAATGATATTCTCTTAACCTTACAGCAATGTATTTCAGTTTATGGAACTTATACCAGCATTTACAGATCTTTGGGGAAAGTACTAAATATGGGTTTAATCACCATGGTTAGATATGTGAATGACCAGGCTGGTAAAACTGTTTTTGAGAGTATACTACTTCTTCTAATTTCAACAGGTATTGGAAAAATGGATCTGCATGGAATATTCATGCCTTGTATAAAGATATCTATCTAGTAAAGAAAATCAAAGGTGCTCTATAAGAATTCATTACCAATATGAATATATTAAGAAAACCAAATTGTTGGTTGCTAGCATAAAATTAATTGTGCTTTGTTAAAGTTGAATTCACAATACAATTGTGAAGACATTCATAAGATGGTAGGCATTTATTGGATACAACAGCTCAAGCTAACACGTTTTTATGAGAGGTAGATATGATTCAATTATTTGCTGTTAAGTTACATTCCCTTCCCTCCTTCTGTGTCTAAAGTGGTTGCCTTAGCAACACAGGTGCCCAGATGACTCATCATGCATATTGTTTTGTCTTTTCCTCTGCTTTGATCTGTTCTCTAATATGTCAGGTTTAAAAAAAAGAGAGACTTTAAGAAAATGCTTTGGGGACATTCATCAAGAAACGACCCTAGAAAAGGGGAGTTTTAGATACTTTTTTCTTCTCCCACCACATGCATTTAATCATATTAGTCATGCAATGTGGTCTGTATACCCTGCTCCATTCTCTATCCATCCTTCAATGTTTAGTTCATCTGGCTCTTCCATGAAGTTCCTTGGTACCATATTTGCTCAAATCTCTACTGCCCCTGAAGTTTTGTAACAATTCATAAGTGTACTATTGATCTGCCTTGTCCTGTGGTTATTGTCTTTTTTTTTTAAATGTATGATAGTACTGAATAGGGCTATGATAGAAATAAGCAGTTTGAGATATGAGCACAAAGGAGGAAAATCTGACCCAGTAAAGCCAAAACTTGTTCAATACTCTGGTGCACAAAGGAATAGTTATCCTGGATGGAAACAGGCCATTATTGTACATGAGTTCTGCTCATATATATAAGCAAAAGATGTCCATTTTAATAATTTTCCTTGCTGGATAACATAAATGGTATCTAAAGTGTAGTAGGCACATTCGTCTAAATAATTTCAGCAGAGGTTATTGCCAGAAAAGGATTTTGGGGTCTGGACTTTACCTTTACTTACTACAACACACAAAGCCTGAATTAAGTGGTTAATTAGTTGCTTATACATACATTATACAGAACCTACACTTAACAAAGGCATAGAGTGGATGGGTACCATTTTTAACATAGCTCTATTCCCTCTTAGCAATCACTTCTTCTCAACAAAGTTGCAGGACTTTCTGAGATTTTGAATATGGCAATTTCTTTCTCATTACCAGCACCTTATGCCAACAATGCTTCTCTTTCCCCACCATCCCATGACTGTGTCATCCCCAGAGAGAAGTCAGTCTTCACTACGGTGGCATGAATGTTGCTTGCCACATGTTTAGCACATTCTAGCTCAGACATAGGACATTTATATTTAATAAATGTCCAATGGCATAACTTGATGGTGTTATGGGGGATTTGTGGACAAAGGACATTTTGGAGCACACTAAATCATATAAACGTCTTTCTGTGGCACCATGTTTTCCTCTGCTACTAATCTGGCATTACAAGTGAAGAAATATCAATTGTCTAAGGCCAACTCAGTTTTGGAGAATGGAAATTTTGCATTTTTCTTTCTTTTCCTTCCTAGAAAGGATTGCTCCTCTCACATGGACCACACCAAGTACTCTTCCTAGGAGAATGAAACATCACTTAGGAGACTGAATTGAGATGGATTGAGAATTCACTTTATTAGAAGAAACACCTTCATTTTTCTCATTAGTATATCTAACTAGACGGTGCTATGCAGTCATGATCATATTCATCTAGATCTCACATCTTTGCAATTCAGGACCAATGGGATGCATAAATATTACATGAATGTGTTCTAGTGATAACTATAAAGAAACACAAATAATTCGGGGCGCCTGGGTGGCCCAGCCAGTTGAGCGTCCGGCTTCAGCTCATGTCATGATCTCACGGTTTGTGAGTTTGAGCCCTGCATTGGGCTCTGTGCTGACAGCTCAGAGCCTGAAGCCTGATTCAGATTCTGTGTCTCCCTCTCTCTGCTCCTTCCCACTCATGCTCTCTCTCTCTCTCTCTCTCTCCTTCAAAAATAAAAACATTAAAAAAATTAAAAAAAGAAACACAAATACTTTGCCTAAATCAGCACATGAAACATACACTTTGTAGAAACCAATTCTTCAGTTAAAAAAAAAAAAAAGTGGTAGGTGGAGTCATGTTACTGTACTACTGATTAAGTCCCTTCAAATGCCTGAGATCCAACTCCCTTGTTCAATTTGTCAACTTGTCTCCCCAATACTCATTTTTGGTATTAAAAAAAAACACATGACTTTTATTAAAATACTTGTCTATGATCCTTTATGGATGTCTTTATGCTTTATTTTCCTTCTACTTACTGTAAAGTGTGACATCTTAGCTCAGTGGAGGTATAAAGTAATTCAAGACTACTTGCCCTTCCCTTTCTCTACCTACTCATAGGAATGTGTTTGTACACCAAATATGATGTCACAGTCTAGTTCACAAAAAGATAATGATGTTAGAACTTAGTGCTATATCACGCTGTATTCCCTCCCTTAATGCTCCCAAGCACTGAGTGGGTGGTAAGAGGAGAGGTTAAGTGAGTATTGGAACATCAGACATAAGCGATTATCTAATCACAACACTGAATCTCATGGCTGAAAAGTCAGCTCTTTCCTCAACTTCTTTCAACTCTTCTCATTTATGAAATAGGAAAATTTGGTTTGTGTCTCGTTTGTCTCTAGTAATATCACTGTACCACTTGCTAAATAAGTCTCTATAGTTTCCTTATCCTTAGAGAAGAGATAATAAAATATCCTCCCTCAAGCAGTTGTTGTCAGGATCAAATGTGGCATCGTACACACATAAAGTATTTAAAAAACAGAGTGCCTCACACATAATAAATGAACAAGTTCAATGAACAATTATTTATATCATTATAATTTTCCTTTAAAATAAATGAAAGGCAGACTCCAGACTCAGAATGTTAGGCATGCAGACAGGCATCAACATCTTAACTAGAATTCAAGAACTTATTTTCCTTCCAGTTTACATTATGGTTTACTACTATGCAAAACATGTTTTCTGTTTGTGAATGTGCTATAGTGTTTTCTTTATGAGTAAGTTTATTTCAGCAAAAAGTGAGTCAATAAAAAGAATATATGAAATAAAGCATAATTCAGTTCATGCACTAATATAAGAAAATCTCTGAACAAAATGACTTACACTTGCGACTATGTATAAACGGTATGCATGTTAGCTCTTTTTACTGTCACGTGCTTCCCCATATCCCCAGCACCACACCCTTGCATCTATCAGTTACTTTGCTCTCCTGCCTAAAATGCTTCCTCATCACAGTTTGGTTCATCTTCTCCAGGAAACCACCCCCATTCAACCTGACGTGCAATTACCTTCTTGTTTTGTTGTAAAAGGGCTTTGTGGTCAAACATCACTATGGTCACTCCTGACTGTGCCCCTTGCTAGATGTATGATTGTGGGAAAGATACTTCACAGTTTCATCAGCATTAGTGTAAAGAACATAAAGTCAATGACTATTTGTATGTTAGTGGTAAGGATTAAATGAGATAAAATATAGGAGACATTCATTAGCTAAAACTTCAATAAAAGTTCAATGGTATGATGGCTATACTTGTATTTTAAAATTGCATCTGTTTTAATTTTCCTTCCTTCATCCCTTCATCTTCCTTTTACATCTATTCTTTGAACATCTTCTCTGGGTAGGGCCTTTGCTTACTACAGAAGGTCCCCAGACTTACACAGTTCGAGATATGATCTTCTGACTTTACAATGGCGTGAAAGTGACACACACTCAGTAAAAACTATACTTTGAATTTTGAACTTTTCCCAGCACGGTAATATGTGGTATGATACTCTGTCATGAGGCTGGGCAGTGACAGCAAGCCTCAGCTCCTAGTCAGACATGTGGTCACGAGGGTAAGCAACCGATACAACCTGTACTCATACAACCCATACAGCCACTCTTTTTTTTTCCACTTTCAGTAGAATGTTCAATAAATGATCACATATTTAAAGCTTTATTATAAAATAGGCTTTGTGTTACATGAGTTTTCCCAACTGTAGGCTAACATCAGCATTCTGAGCACATTTACAGTTGGCTAGGCTAAGCCATGGCGTTTGTTAGGTTAGGTGCATTAAATGCATATGTGACTTAATGACATTTTCAACCTACAATGGACTTATTGGAAAGTAATCCCATTGTAAGGAGAGGAAGATCTGTACTTTGTAATATAGACAAAACAATTTCTGCTCTCTTCCCGAGGTCTCTCACCAAATACATATTTATTCATTTAATTTTTGTTTACTGACGCCTTAATTTATATCTCCTTTAAAAGTTTTTGAGTTGGTTACAATAAAAGACATTTAAAATAGACCCACTTACATCTCAATGTTATGTTCAAATATTATATGGAGGGAATGGGATATAAATATGCCAAATACTTTGGCTAATATAATTACTGTAATTGGACATAAATTCAACTGTGCAGTCTTGACAGCCTGGGCAGAAGGGGGAATTGAGACAGGTTACAAGTCTGATGAGTATTTTCAAAGTTTGGCTAGACATGACTCTGGGCCCTGTAAGCTAAAAGTGGCTTTCAACAAGTTGGATCAGGGATAGTTGATCTATAAATTACTTCCCTGTTTCCTGTTGGGAAATATTTGTCATATAAGCATGGTAGAATTTTATTAAATATAACTAAGTCAGGCTACATGTTTTGAAAAAAACATTTGTCCAGCTTGCCACTGTTTTTGTGTTTTCTTATAAAACATTCAACTATAAATTGGAATTTGATATATCGCCCACCAAGTGACCAAACTGAATGCATAATGCAATATTTGGAGCTGTGGAATAATTTTTGGATAGCTGATGTATCAACAAACTAATTCTACCCATTTGTTTAGTATTTTACAGTTTACAGAGTGCTTTGGAATATATTATCACTTTTAGAAACACAGCTGAAATATATTAGAAAGAGCTCTGGAGTTGAAGTTAGATGATTTGCATTCAACTCTGCCCACCGCAGCCTTATAACAGCTCCCCCTATTTTTGTAACTTCCTCTTCCTGATTCATCCATTCAGAATGATTCTGCAGATAGGCATCTCCAAGTTAGCACAAATTTTGATGATTAATTATTTTGTAACTTTATTTTTTATTCCTATAAGGAATGCTGGTATAGGTTGTAATAAAAAAGAAAATGATTAAGTTCCTAGCCAACCATATGGTAAGGTTATTCCTTGAGGTTTTTTTCAGTCCACGTACCACTGACTTCACATAGTGTTCTGGAATCCCTTCATCTTCTGACCTTCTCAGTCACCCTCCCTCTTGAAACTATACCCCTCTGCACTGCTGGCTCCATTCTGGACAGATGAAGAACTATCATAGAGGTTGGTGTTGACCATTAAGAACAAATGAATCATCAACTCCGGTCTTTCGGATAATATTGGTCACTTTTGATATAACTGCTATATATCCTTTTACTAAAATCCTTCTGTCTAGTTTTGCTGCATTGCCAGCGACAACTTCCTCCTCCTCCAAAGAGTAATAGAAGGGAAAACAGAGAGGAAAGATGTGTATGTGCCCTTCCCACCCAGTAGACAGAAGAGACGTTGGAGGGAGAACCAGTGTCATTCAATGTTGTTGTTTTATCATCTATGTAACCCCATTTGAAATGGGTTTTCCATAATGTACAGTAAGAATATGAAAATTGATGAATTGATGGTGTACTTTATGAGAGAAAGAATACTTTTCCTGGGTCCTAATTCTAAGAGGGTTCTTTTCATTTTATCGTTCAGGTACCTAATGCTGATTTAATTATGATTTGTAGTATGTGGCAGAGTATGCTCATAGGTACCTGATGTTAGGTCAATATATATCTCTCTTTCTATCTCTGGGTTTATCTCTATCTCTATCTAGTTTGTTTTGTCTTCCTCTCAGATCCCCCACTCCCATTCATTCTTTACATACACCTTCATAGGCACCAATTCATTCTATTGAATATTTGCAAAATCTATGGCAATAATTCATTTGTTTGGCTTAGTAAGAAAAATATTGTGCTATAAATCCTGTCTCTTTACTTTATTCCTTTTACATCTTTTTAAAAGATGTACCCATTCTGTCCTATATCTTTTCTTCCCTATATCCCTTTGAACTTGTATTTATCTAATAATAAATTAAATTGAACATTTTATATTCTCATGTCCACACTATTTTTTAGACAATTTTTTTCAGAGTAGTTTTTGTTTTATAACAAAACTGAGGGAAACCCACAGAGATTTCACATATATCCTCTGCCCCGCCCCCCCCTGCATAGCCTTCCTCATTACTGACATTCCCTACCAGAGTGGTACATTTTTTAATCAAGGAGCTACATGAAATTACCATGAAGCTACACTGACACTTCATACAACCCTATGTCCATTGTTTATATTATGGTTGGCTCTTAGTGCTGTACATTTAATGGGTTTAAACAATGTATAAGGACATATATCCATGATTATAATATCATACACAGTATATTCACTGTCTTAAAAATCCTCTGTGCTATGCCTATTCATCTCTCACTGGCCTCTTCCCCACCCCTGGCAAGCACTGATCTTTTGATTATTTTCATAGTTTAGCCTTTTCCAAAATGTCTAATAGTTGGAATCATATAGTACATAGCCTTTTCAAATTAGCTTCTTTCACTTATTAAGATGCATTTAAGATTCTTCCACGTCTTGTCATGGCTTGAGATCTCATTTCTCTTTAGTACCGAATAACATTCCATTGTTTAGTACACCAAACTTTATCGGTTCATGCTCTGAAGGACAACTTAGTCACTATAAACTTTCTAT